TTACATTTTAATTATTCAATGCACGATATTATTCAGTCCAGAAAAATGAATGAATCCGTTTAATTTATGGATAATATATCACAGATATATGTTACCCTACACAGGAGAGACTCGGAGTAGAACCACTGCTCCTCCACATCCAGAGGAGACAGTTGAGGTGGTTCAGACATATGGTAAGGATGCTCCATAGACACCTCCCTAGTAGACGTGGCATGTCTATGCCCGGGCCCAGGCCGACCCAATCCAAAATTCGGGCCTGGTCGGGCCATAATAATGTGCTTGATGGGCGAGCCGGGTCGGTGTCGGGCTTTTGATGCAGTTTTACAAATAATGCAGCACACAGAAAACTAAATTACAATGCACAATATAAAAATTGTGTTAATCTACTTGTTGAGGAGGAGGCAGGTTCAACCGTACGGTTGAAAGGGGTAAAAACATGTCCTGTTCAGTTTTAGATGGATCACCTGATATCGGCCACGCGCATCTCCGCTCCCTGCTGTCATCTGCTGTGAAGGAAGTAGCAGCATATACAACAGCCGAAGCGAGCAGCGTGTTCAATTAAATAGCCTTGTTCTATAGTTTGCCAAATAATTTTGCTCTAAAATATTTTTTGTTCATCTGTATAATAGCTGATCTTTAGAGTAGATTCTTTTAGGCTATTCATTTTGTATGTTAATATCTATTTGGTGAAACAAAATCTTATATCTTCCTTTCTTTGAAATATGTTTTTAAAATATCATGTCAAACCGATTTGCTTACACAAGCAAAGCTTAATTAAAAAATGTTGGTTTTTGTAGGGTTTTGTCATCTTCCTTCCACCAGGTTCATGAAGGCAGGGGCGGCGCTGATGAGCAGCCGCAGCTGAGACCATTTTCCCTAATTGGTGTCAGGACTACTTAAGGCTCCAGTTGAGCTCCAGTCATTGCTGGAGCATTGTTCTACCTGCCGGTACATATGCCTCCAGCCCTCTATAGTGTTCAAAGATTGAAAAGACTTACCTTGTTTTGTGTCCACATTTTCAGAGTCTTGATGTCCTGGATCCTGTCTTGTATTTTTGAAGTATTGAAGAAAACCCTGAGGATAAACTTACCTGTGTTTCCTGGTGCTCAGCTGCCTGCACACGCCGTCCACCACTTGCCTTTGCAGTCTGCCTGGTCATCATCCTGGAAGGAGAAAAACCCTCAGCCTGTCCATCAGTCATCCTAACTACTTTCGCTGTAAGCCTCTCAAAGACCTTGAATATTCAGTTATTGGATCATCTCCTCGTCATAAAGTAATCCTCCTCCTCTGTCTTCACCGACCCAGATCCTGTTTGTAAATAGTTTATTTTTTTACTCACTGTAAAATAAACATTTTTCAATTACGTTTGAGTTTGGTTCTGGTTTCCTCTCAGTCTGTTCACTTGGGTAACTCCACATTACAACAGTTGTTTTTTTTTCTTTCATTAAATAAACTGTATTTATTTTAATAAGATTTTTATGGTTTATATTTTTAGAGCTGATGTTTTATTTGCTCCATGGGCGAGTTGACACTGTTTCACTTGGGGTGTGGGTGGGTGACAGAGGAGAAGCAGCAGAGAGGTGGAGGACAACAACGCTGCTTCCTGGACTGGTTTCTTGACTGGACCATTGTCAATAATTTGGATGTTCAACTGAATCAGATCAGTTTTTAGAGAGAAGTGCTGCTCCATTCAAAGTGGGATGGATTCCATCTCTCTGCACCAGACCGGGTTTGTCCCAAAATGCACTCCAGTTGTCTACAAAGCCCACATTGTCAGTACACCACCTGGACGCCCAGTGGTTGAAAGCCGACATACGGCTAAACATGTCATTGCTGGTCAGGTTTGGGAGGGGGCCGGAGAAAACTGCGAAGTCACACATAGTTTTAGCGAAGATGCACACCAAAGTAACATTAATTTTAGTGACCTCTGATTTACATAATCAAGTGTCATTTTCACTGACGTGAATGATTTTACTGTATTTAGCTTTAGCCAGTAGTTTCAGGTGGGATTCTGTCTCCCCCTCTGGCCCCTGGAATGCATTTGACTGTGGTTTGAGCCACAGGTGCCACGTTTCAGACCGTGGAGCTGCCAATAACCAGGGTCTGCTCATCGGCAGGTGTTTCACTTGGCACAGGAAACCAGTTTGAAAGTTGAACAGGTTGACTGAGGAATTAGTTTTAGTATTTTCCAAGGACCGTCACCCAGCGGGTCTGTGGTTCAGAACAGGTAAGGGGAGGAAACTGATCTGAAATGTGATTTTGAACAGAAGAATCATTGGAAATGTAATTTGAAATGTGAATGGGTTGATGGTGAACCAGGGATTTAGTTTTAGCATTTATTTGATATGCTAATAATAATGATAAATGCTCATTTAAATGCAAATGAACCTTGGGCCATCACCCAGCCAGCCTGTGGTTTCTGACTGCTAACGTGAATGAATCCAATCAGCTACTTAGACTACAAGCATGTCTTAAAGACATAAAAACCTGGATGACCCTTAATTTTCTCCTGTTGAACAGACAAGACTGAGGTTTTGATTTTTGGACCTGAGCACCTTAGGAATGAATGTTTCAGTCTTTCTCCCTCCTTAGAAGCATTAATCTGTCCTCCAGCTCTAATGTTAAAAATCTTGGTGTTATTTTTGATCAGGACATGTCTTTTATCCCCCACATTAAAAACGTTACTAGAACCTCCTTCTTCCACCTGCGTAATATCACTAACATTAGAAACATCTGATCTAAAGATTATGCAGAAAAACTGGTCCATTTACCAATTAAAATATATCAGAATGCAGGAAATGGTATCTTCTTTATTCAAAATTTTCTGGGGAGGACACCCAGACCCCTCAAGCAGTGTGTCGTCGTCATCCCCCCCCCCCCCCCACACACACACACACCTTACAAAAGTTTTTTATGTCCCTGGTAGTCAGACTGATAATGCTCTGAAAAGTGTACTGTGCACGGCTTTAGTTGTTTTGCATGAAGCTCGCGTCGTGTTCTGCAGATACACATTGAGCTACAAAGCTCTTTCACCAGCGCTGCATAGGGCTGTGGGATGTATGTGGCAGCCTACCTGGGATGGCCAGGTAGTGAAGAGGGGTGTCCCACAGGGCACATGGCAGGTGGGTCATCCAGCTCTCCATGGGGAGGCCCGCAAGGCTCAGCTGGTTCTGTCCGGACACCACCACTGAGGACATCCTGTCTGGAGTCTTCTCTCCTGTAAAAACGTGAATTTTGGCACAAAAACAGAGTAATGCATAATTTACAGTACGTTAAGTTGTTCTTACCCAAGCTGTGGAGGTTTAGGACACACTGAAACATGGGTGTGAGCTTCTGAGTGCAGCATTACAGAGTAATGTGAGAGGTGCAGCCCTTACTTGATCAGACTGCAGCTTCTGTCCAGCTGCACAGGAGGACCACCGCCCACTGACATAAAAAGTCCCGAAGAAGAAGATGCTCGTGCCCAGAGTCACAGGAAACAAGTTTGTGTGGCCATGGAAACCATTGATGACGCAACAGTCACTGGTCAGCTCAGTCCGGTTACCTTCTCACGCCTGCACAACCCGGGAGACGCGACAAGCCCACACATTTCTGTAGCTGCGTGTGTCCTCCTCAGGCGCAGCAGCTCAGGGCGCGTCCCGCCCGTCCCACCGGGTGTCCCACGGTCCGGTCCCCACTCCGGAGCTGCGGAGAACTGGACCAGCTGACAGATCAGCAAATCCACCGAGACTGATCCCTTAAAGAGCCCCTGACACGACGTGACGCGGCTTCACACAGTCAATGACGGCGAGCGGACCTGCAGAGCAAAAGTGGGCATTTCTGGAGGACAGTCACTGATTGACTGGCTGTGTCTGCTGCTCTTTATCTCTTATCTCTTATCTTTTATTTCTTTATATCTTATCTTTTATCTCTTATCTTTTATCTATTTATATCTTATCTTTCATCTCCTTATCTTTTATCTCTTATCTTTTATCTCTTATCTTTTATCTATTTATATCTTATCTTTCATCTCTTTATCTCTTATCTTTTATCTCTTTATCTTTTATATTTATCTCATTATCTTTTATCTCACTATCATTTATCTCTTATATTTTATCTCTTTATATCTTATCTTTCATCTCTTTATCTCTTATCTCTTGTCTCTTTATCTCTTATCTTTTATCTCTTTATCTCTTGTCTCTTTATCTATTATCTTTTATCTCTTATCTTTCATCTCTTTATCTCTTTATATCTTATCTTTCATTTCTTTATCTTTTATCTCTTTATCTTTTATCTCTTTATCTTTTATCTCTTATCTTTTATCTATTTATATCTTATCTTTCATGTCTTTATCTCTTATCTCTTGTCTCTTTATCTCTTATCTCTTTATATCTTATCTTTCATCTCTTATCTCTTGTCTTTTATCTCTTATCTTTTATCTCTTTATATCTTATCTTTTATCTCTTTATCTTTTATCTCTTATCTCTTATCTCTTTATATCTTATCTTTCATCTCTTATCTCTTGTCTTTTATCTCTTTTTATCTCTTATCTTTTATCTCTTTATATCTTATCTTTCATCTCTT